GTAATTTTTATAATTATACTTATAATTATGTAATTTTTATAATTATACTTATAATTATATAATTTGTATAATTATACTTATAGTTATATAATTTGTATAATTATACTTATAATTATATAATTTGTATAATTATACTTATAACTATATAATTTGTATAATTATACTTATAATTATGCTTATATCTTTTATAATTATACTTATACTTGACTTATACCTTCTCACAAAATTATAACTCAGTAAGTTCAGAATCATTTACAATTTTACTTATCAATTTTTTATTTAGCAATTTATCAGTTTTTCCGTAGACCTTAATGGAACATTCAAGAATTCCCAATTAATTGTCAGAAACTATCCGCTTAGAAACTGTCAGAATCAATTGTCAAACATGAACAATATCTATTTCCGGCGTTAATATTATTAACCGTTGATAGAACGAGGGCCACTAAAGGGCCACTGAAGGGACCCACGAAAGCTGATAATCGCGTTAAACACAACCGCAACTCGTTGAAAAATTGCGCTCCATGTTATCGATAGCGAGGCACGTACTTACCCGTATTTTATTATTCCGTTTCTCGGCGTGGAATATTTTCAAAGAAAACCGTGGCCCGCAGTACGCAAACCGATAGGGGATGGTTAAGGAGCCCGGAATATTTCATCTACGGTCGAGTGTGAAATTTTCATCCCCTTGTCGGAATTGAAATCGTCCCGAAGTGTCGTGGCCAGCGCCGAGGGGAGACAGTCAGTCGAATCACACGGTTTTGCGCGAAAGTATCGACACACTTTTCCCAAACGTCAGTTTCCAGCGTATGCCAGCAAATTTACTGGCGGCTCTCGCTTATCGGAGGAAAGGGGTAAAAATGCTCTGCAGGCTTGCCGTTTGATTTATTTCTTCCTGCATGGAGAAATTGTAGTTTTATTCCAGTTAGCTTTGTTCAAATAAATTGTTATCCACTTCGGGATTGATCGTGAAGCTATAACCTTGGTCCCGTAATCGGGCCCTTACCAAGCAATCCGGAGAAATTTCGCTCAAATGTTTGCTTTTCAATTTATTTTACTCGAAGTAATCCTTCGAATCACTTACAATCAACTGTTAACGACGTTGGAACAAAATGCCAACCTAAAAGATTAATTTCGTAATGAAGGCATTTTGGAACAATCTATAAAAATTAATTAATTTTGCTCACGTTAATTTTTCTGGTCACTTGTGTCAATTGTTAACAACGTTAGAACAAAATGCCAACCTAAAAAATTAATCTTGCAATGGAGGCATTTTGGAGCAATCTATAAAAATTAATTAATTTTGCTCATGATAATTATTCTGGTCACTTATGTCAACTGTTAACAACGTTAGAACAAAATGCCAACCTAAAAGATTAATTTCCTAATGAAGGCATGTTCGAACAATCTATAAAAATTAATTTTGCTCACATTAATTGTCCTGGTCATTTATGTCAATTGCTAACAACGTTAGAACAAAATGGCAACTTAAAAAATTAATCTTGCAATGAAGGCATTTTGGAACAATCTATAAAAATTAAACAATTTTGCTCACGTTAATTGTTCTGATCACTTATGTCAATTGCTAACAACGTTAGAACAAATTGTCAATCTAAAAGCATAATTACACAGAGAGGATATTCTTAAACAATTTACAAAAGTATGTTAAATTTCATGTATTTGTTTTTCAACGAATCTTACTTAAATCAATTGTGCGAATCATTTAAGTCAATCGTTACCAATGTTAGAATGAAATGTCGATCCTAAAACTGAATCCTGCAATGCGGGTCTTTTCAGAAGACCTGTAAAAATCCGCACAGAATTCTCGTTAATCCACGGCACAGAATTTGCTTCATTGCGATGTAGGACAGAAATTAAAGAAGCTCCGTACTTTACATGCGATTATTCGAGCAGCTGAAATTAGCATACAGAAAGAAACGTGTCAGAACCTTCATCACATCGAGGCCATTATTGCAAACACAAAGAAAGCGAGACCGACAAAAATTCCCCCAAAATTTCGCAAAACCCTTTCGAGTATCGAACCTCCAAACCTCGAAAATCCAAATAACGAAAAGCAGTAAAAAAGAAGAGATCCGCGAACCCACCGCCATAAGTCAGCGGCCACGAATTGTTCCGGTGGGTCGCGGAGCACTTCAATCCCCGAAAAAGAAGACCGCGTTAAGGAAATAATGAGAAAATTATGCGAACGGTCTAGTTTCCGGAAGATTTAGAGCCCGGGACTCGGGTCGCGAAACTTTCGATGAATTTTCCTGCGACGAGTCGTCCCGTTGTCAGCCCCGGCTCTATCGCAGCGTAAGTCCATCTCTCCGCCCCTCCCTCCCCCAGCGCGTATCATTGTCCTAAAAGGAAAAGCTGGCCGCGGCCTGGCCAACCGTGTTGCGCTTTCGTTCCGAAAGTTCGTCGTCCGGAGGTTTCCAAACGTAGTCCTCATTCAGCCCGGGTAGACACACCCAACCCGTTTCCAGGGGGTGGCTCTATCACCCTTTTGAAGCCGGCGAGCTCTCTTCGAGTGTCGGCCGCGTGCACACGTCTTTGCCCCTCATTCAGCCGGCTTACCCTTCGCTCGAGTCCCCCGGCACAAAGTATTTTCCATTCTATCCCCGGAGTCACCGACCCCCGCCCCTTACCCCCGTCGTCTACGCCAGCGCACACCTGGCCACGATTCTTCGACTCTTTCTCGCATGGTTTTTCCCTTTGGTCACGCCGGGCCGAGTATCGCAAAGAGGGACGTCGGGACCGTTAATGGTGTTGCTTTGTGCGCAACACCGGTTTAAAACGCCAGCCGAAAAGATTTCGTTACCCGCGGGCTATTCAGGTGTTATTAGGCTTGGGGCGCTGCTGACAGCCGACTCGGCGGTCCTTGGTTTTACTGAATTACTTTCGACAATTGAGCCGTTTATTTTGAAAGTGGCATAAGTCACTTTACCGTAATGAAAAGTGGCGATTTGTTAATAATAATAATATATATAATATATATATATATTATAAATAATATTATATATAATATTATATAAAATTATATATAATAATATTTATATTATTATATATAATTATTACATATTATTATATATAATAATATTATATAAAATTATATATAATATTATATATAATATATACAATAACAAATACAAGTAAATCTTCTCGAAAGTCAGCATCCATATTTTTAAACGTGTTAAAACGCAAACCCTTAAATATATCGACTTAAAAACAAAGTGACTTATGCCACTTTCAAAATAAACGGCTCAATTGTTCGACTATTCGCAGTAACAATTATTAAATCTTTTTCGATTTTAATGGACTTTACACTGCTGCGCGCTTGGCAAATTGTTTGCAGGGATTCGGGTGACTGAAAATGGTGCTCCCAGGATTGCGTTCATCCCCTAAATTATCGCATGACACGACAAATGCTCGGACAATGAAAAACTCCGTGACATTGCGGCTTATAAAGCTTCGATGAATAGCTTAAATGCGCAGCTGTTTAGTTATTGACAATGTTAACACTATGCCGTCCGCAGATCTTAGTCATGATTCTTTCGTTTGACGCCGGCATAATAGCTTGAACATTTTAGATTAAAAAAAAAAAATTACGAAGATGGCGGTAATATAAATTCCTAAAATTAAGGTATGTCATCCAAGAATTTTCGTACTTAATTCTTAGTTAAATAAGCACGATGCTATAGTTTAGTTTGCTGCCTTTTAACACCCAAGAAATATATTAGGTCTACCGGAAAGTTCTGTCCGTTTCTGAATTGAAATATAACACAATTTGCATACATTTAATAATATTTATCGTAGAATATACTTTCCGTCGTTACTTATGACTTCTTGCCAGCGCGACGGCAACTTGTAAATGACATTTTTAAAAAATGATTTATTTTTAGAGGCGAAGAACTCGACTAGTGCTTGGTTGACATCAGCTTCAGTTTTGAATTTTTTTTCCTGTAAAAAGTTTTGCAAAGAGAGAAACAAGTGATAATCGGATGGTGCTAGGTCTGCGGAGTATAGTGGATGCGACAGAATTTCCCAGCCTAGCTCTGCGATTTTCTGACGAGTCGCCAAAGCAGCATGTGGTCCGGCATTATCATCGGTAGCCATGTTTTCACGATCGCGTCTCGCTTAATAATGACATGAGACATCTTTGTTTCAATTTATTTAGGAGAGCACATGTGTGTAAATGCAATGATAAAGAGAGATAGTCATATATGTCTCAAATCAACATGTGCATATAGATTGAAACTTGAAGTGACACTATCGGACAGAACTTTCCGGTAGATCTAATAGTTCAAATGTTATTTCAGTTTTTTAAAATGGCACCAAAGTGGTGCCACCGGACGGCATAATGTTAATGTGCCTACAAGAAGTACTTAACGTTCGTTTGGTATTTAGCCCTTTTTGTATATGAACAAAGGGCAAGGACAGTCAATTATACCGGTCTGGAAACAAAAACACGTCTCGTCCTGGCTCGAACATAGTCCTCTTAATTTAACGTTAGGCCTTTTAACCAGTGAAACAATACGGAAACGGCAGGAAGCTGTCGCAAAAGCACTGCCTCGAGAGGTTTAAGCCAGCGTTTGGCAGCGCACGGTCGATCTAGCAGGGATTTGTACGATCCAGGACAGTTTGAGTAAGCATCGAAGAAGATCCTCGCCGTTCCTGGAGGGTAATTTGGCTGAACGTTCCACTCGCTCGTCTGAGCAGTGATAGGTTTACGTCACTTGTTGCGTCCGCATTCGCGCGCCGCAGAAACAATAGAAATCTGCCAGGAAACTAAACATTCCTTTTTGCTAGAACGATCGACTGAATTACGATAGCCCCGGTCTGACCATAGGCAGGCTCGTTCCACTTGTTAGTCGCGTCGCAACGGCATTTCGCGAGGGCCAAGGGAGCACCGCGTTTTTTCTCTGTTCGTTGCCGGAGAGCTCCGCCTTGAAATGCATTCGAAGCGAGCATCGTCGTAGTAGTATGACAAGTTGTATACTGACCAACTCCCAGCAGCGCCGCTTGGCAGAGATACTGTCTCGACACCAGACACTGAGCAGATGGCCTGGCGGTAACGATTCCCCATGCCGCGCAACCAAGAGCTGCTGCCAACCCCAAACAAGTCTGCAGCAACACCAGAGCACTGTTTTCCAGACCATCCTCTTTACCATGCACAGCCTGAAACGGATGCTGCTTGTTAGTGGACTGCGGGTGACCATGCAAACGTCGGTGTTTGGGAATTCATTCGTGGAGTTTGGGGTCTCGGGGAAACTTTGTTCTCTCCGTCAAATATTTCACTTCTCTGTTAAATTCACATTACCGTCTGTTCATTTTTTAAAGCTATCGGTCATAGCCAAATTGCAGAGTTCAATCGATCTGTCGATTCGTCGGTTCTTGTGCAAATCCCGAACAATTTCGTTCTAATCCCGTTTGCTTATTTCTTTACACTCTCTATTTTTTTATTTCTAAATATTTTTCGGTGATAAGTAGAATTTCATTTTATTGCACGAGATACATTTACATTTAACTGTGTTCAATAATTTTTCTAAATTCTACGATTCGTAAGTTAAATCGCACAGGTTCAATTCTCATTGAAATCTATTATTATCTAATTTCTATATTTTTCAGTGACAAGTAGAATTTCATTTTATTGCACGAGATACATTTACATTTAACTGTGTTCAATAATGTTTCTAAATTCTACGATTCGTAAGTTAAATCGCAGCGTTCAATTCTCATTGAAATCTATTAAAATCCTAAACAAGTGTATAGAAAATAACACGCGTCGCTTCTTTCTATCTATTTATTTTTCAATCTACACCTTTTCGAGAGAAACATGGAATACCATTTAATCGCGCGAGTTACACTTAGCTACCGATGCGTGTCCAATTAATGCCGAAACTCTACGATTCGCAGTTGAACTGCAGAATGAATTTTGCTGTTTTTGTTGCCGGCTCGAAACACAGATTTTTCTTATACTTCGGTTCCGGATCCACTTTGCAGCGGGATTTTCTGTTCGAAAGGGGCTCCGCTAACTTCGAGGCGCTGCCTAATGGCACGCTGATCGCTAACAGGACCGCGAGGAGTGAATTTGAGACACGCGACCGGCCAACGGCGATTATGAGAGTGTAAACCGAGCAACTTTCGTGTAACTTTGCCTGACAATTCAGTTACCGATTGTAGCCCCCCGGTTGATTGCATGCAACTGTGCCGGCGGCAGTTTCGTAATTGAGCCCCGGGAGACTGGTCAGCGATCAACGATCGAGAAACTGGACCGCGTTTATTCGCGGTACCGCCCCCGATAGTTGTCAGTGTACCATTACCGAACTTTCTGTTTGTTCGGCAGCGATATTTACATTCGTTAACGTCCTGCCAGCACCGGAAACCAAAAGCAATTTTGTCAATTATCGCGAATTCCGTTTACGCGTTCGGCGAGCAATTTCCGACGAAATATTTGTACAATGTTTTGTAACTTATGTAAACATTTACATAAACAATATTTCTTTGTACACACGTTGGTTCAGCACTACTTTGTCCGGCAAGAAATTGCATAATGCAGATCCGCCGCACATTTGACAGCGGTTCCCACGTTTGATTGATCACTTACGTCTCCTGACTGACCATTCACCGACCTATTCTCCTTAATTGGCCAACGACGAGTCCATATAACTTGTCCGATCGGTGCGCAACCTATTCTACTTGCCTGATTAATGCTCGGACTAACTCACTCGGCTGATCAATGCTTGATTTATTCCACTTGCCTAACTAATCACTGGCTCGATTCTCTTGTCCGGACGGACGTCGATCTATTCCACTCGCGGGACCATTCCACAGCGATTAGACAAATTTGCAAAAACAAATAGCAACGTCGTCTCCAATTCGAAATTCATATTTAAACAAAAACTGCGGACCGATCTTCGAGTGGGAACGTCACGGAAAAGTAGATCTTCTAAGTTCATATTTATTATTATTTTAAGTTCGGTGACACTAATTATGCAAAAAATCATTTTTAACGTAATTCTACGAACAATGTGAATTCCACTGGAATGTCTAGGATGTAAAACCGCTACGATAAATTTTAATTCTTTCAGTTTCAGTTTCATCAATTTTATTTTCAATTACTTTGATTTTGTGTGACATTTCGGGATTGATTTTTTGTGCTTAGCGTGTTAAACGAATCAAGCTAACATTTTACAAAATTCGGAGTCGTAGTTTCTGTCTGTTTCTACTGTTCCAGTCATAGTCCCCGTGGTTCCGTAAAAAAATGCTACATCTAATCGGTAAAAGGGACCGGCTGTAGGAGGGATATTTAAATTGTCTGGGACACTTACGATGTAAAAGGCGGGTGTGTAGAGACCAAATCCGGCGGCCCCAGCAGCGAGCATCAGCATCCTGACAGGACGACTTCCCAGCGGGCTGAGATCGACCCAAGGCTGTCTGGGCGGCACCTTGGTGCTGGTCCTCCTCTCCTTGAGCTTGCCACCCCGTTGATTCTTCAGGTGCAGCATGGCCCGCCGTTGGGGATGATAGACGGAGGCACTCTTATAGATCAAGCCGAGGAAGAAGGCCAGCGACAGGGCGCCGGTCACGGACTGCATGCCGCGTTTCCAGCCCAGCTTTCTGAGAAAACAGCTCGAGGTTACGGTCGTCGGAGCGAATTACTTCGCCTTTTGTGCCCGGAGTCGACCAAGCTGGCTTCGTCTCGCGTCAATACAAACGGCTCGAGATCCGCCGATACACCGAAAATGTTTTCTATGTAAACGACCGCCGTAGTTCCGCGCGCGGGGACCATTAATGCCGAGTGTTTCTTTTGCATTAACTTCTCGAGGCGCCTGGATCGTTAATGCCCCCGTAATTTCGATCGATCGTTCGCGCCGCGACGTGACCTGTCTTGCAAAGGCAACTCGGTTAACCGGTTACAAGGAATCTTTTTCTTTTCTCATAATCGCGGCGAAGATGTGCCGACGAAGTTTCGATACGAAATGCGATCGAATTTGTTGTCTGTAACGAGACTGGTTTTAATTTTACGTCTCATTCTTGTCGCGGTTATTCTACTTTTTCAGAGCGATGTCACACCCGTATCACTTGTCTGACTAAGAATGTATTCTTTCACCTAGCCTGACTTGTGAGAATTATACCACTTGTCTGACTGCTGTCACGTTTATTCTACTCGTCTGACTAATATTTATTTATTCTAGTTGTCTGACAAATATCACTACTGTATCACTTGTTGGATTATTTTGGGTTACGTGTCTGTCTGACTTGTGAAATTTGTTCTATTTGTCTGACTGCTAATATTTATTCTACTTGCCTGACTACTAATATTTATTCTACTTGTCTGGCTACTGATATTTTCTCCATTTGTCCGACTAGTAACATTTTCTCCACTTGTCTGTCTAATAATATTTCCTCCACTTGTCTGTCTAATAATATTTTCTCCACTTGTCTGCCTAATAATATTTTCTCCACTTGTCTGCCTAATAATATTTCCTCCACTTGTCCGACTAGTCATATTTTCTCCACTTGTCTGTCTAATAATATTTCCTCCACTTGTCTGTCCAATAATATTTTCTTCACTTGTCTGCCTAATAATATTTCCTCCACTTGTCTGTCTAATAATATTTTCTCCACTTGTCCGACTAGTAATATTTTCTCCACTTGTCTGTCTAATAATATTTCCTCCACTTGTCTGCCTAATAATATTTTCTCCACTTGTCTGCTTAATAATATTTTCTCCACTTGTCTGTCTAATAATATTTTCTCCACTTGTCCGACTAGTAATATTTTCTCCACTTGTCTGTCTAATAATATTTCCTCCACTTGTCTGCCTAATAATATTTTCTCCACTTGTCTGCTTAATAATATTTTCTCCACTTGTCTGTCTAATAATATTTTCTCCACTTGTCCGACTAATAATATTTTCTCCACTTGTCTGTCTAACATTTCCTCCACTCGTCTGTCTAATAATATTTTCTCCACTTGTCTGTCTAATAATGTTTTCTCCACTTGTCTGCCTAATAATATTTTCTCCACTTGTCTGTCTAATAATATTTCCCCCACTTGTCCGACTAGTAATATTTTCTCAATTTGTCTGAGCAGTAATATTCTCCTTGTTTGTCCGACTAGTAATATTTTCTCTGCTTGCCCGACTTCTAAGGTGTTCCGAGGAATTGCTCCTTGCATCGACAACTTTGTACCGTTCGCAACAATGTTGATTATTGCACCACCGCAACAACGGCAGTCGTCTTCAGAGGATCGGATAACGTTCGCAAATGAAATTAGAGTGTCTGCGACGGATCCTTGTTATGCAAGCTCGATTCGTCAACGGTGAGCTGCCGTTTCGTCGACGGGTCAAAGCGACCGCAAAGTTCATAACGCGAGCACGACACGAAACACCGCCAGAGAGGCCCACGGAATAGCCGGAAGCCTTTCTCGCTCTTGTTTCAACCGGCTTTAAACTTTGTGGCCCCCGGGATCGCTTGCCGTTCTACGAAATGACGGAAAATCCTTTTTACCGCGTGGCCGAAAGTGTCTATTAGGAACACAGCCACGCTTTCGCTATGCTGGTTTCACTGGAAATTAAGTTTTTTTTATTGTTCCTTGTGAATACTCTATTTTCTACACACCAACGTATAATTTTGGCGAATTAATGTTCTTTCAGAATTTGCCGTTTCCTTAACCATGACGTACGTATACCACTGAATTATATCATATGAATACATTATTCATTCTACTTGTTTAATTAAATATTGTTATCTCCATTTATCTGTCCAAATAGAATCTTCCCTACTTGTAGACTAAAGTGATATCATCTACTTTTCCGATTAAATGTAATTTCTCTACTTGTCTGACTAAAATGATATTATCTACTCGTCTGACTAAAACGATACCTTCTACTGTTCTAACTAAATTTAATTTTCTCTACTTGTCTGATTGAAACGATACCCTCTACTGTTCCAACTAAATTTAATTTTCTCTACTTGTCTGATTAAAACGATATCCTCTACTCGCCTGACTCAGTATAATTTTCTCTACTTTTCTGATTAAAACGTTATCCTCTACTTGCTTGACAATGTATAATTTTCTCTACTTGTCCGATTAAAACGATATTCTTTACTCATCTGACTGAGTATAATTTCCTCTACTTGTCTGATTAAAACGACATCCTCTACTCGCCTGACTAAGTATAATTGTCTCTACTTGTCTGTCTAAAATGATCATCTGTTTAAAACGATGTCCTTTAATTCTTTGACACAATAATTACTTTTTCTTGTCTGGTTAAAACAATTTCCCTTTCTATATAGCCTGGCTAAATTGACTTCTTCTTCCTGTCCGGTTAGAAAGGCTGCCTTTTCTCGCCTGGTCAGAATGATTTCTGTTCCTGTGCAACGTAAACGATTTCATCTTCTCGACTGGCTAAAATAATGTCCCCTATTCGCCCAACAAAAACGACCTTTACCCGTGCGCGCTATATCGCGCGAGTTTCGCTTATCCAGCCTCTTCGATATCCATTTCGCGTCGCACAGCGGAAGCGTCTTATTCCACTCGCGACGGCGATCATTCAAATTTCAGAATGGCGAAATAAAAAACGATGCCAGACGCTGCTTTCCGTTCCCGTTTCCCCGGCGACGGTGACGCTCCGATTTCATGGTCGAGTAAGCAGCCGTTGCGAACAGTAACCGTCTTCATTTGTCGGTTATTGTCGACTGCAGCCGCACGGAAGCCGCTACTCGCCGGGCTTTTACGACCTGCTCGCCGCGGCCGCGATTATATATATATATAATTTCTTATATATATGTATATATATATAATTAATAATAAAATATATATATATAATTTCTTATATATATATATATATAATTAATAATAAAATATATATAATTTCTTATATATATATTTCTTATGAACTGGGAACGAGGGAGAGGCAGTATCGTCTTACGCAGCAACGCCGGCATGTTACGGCATAATAAATAACAGGTGACGAGGTATTGCCTCTCGCCGTTGTAACACGAGACGGTATATCACGCGCTGGTAACACGTGTCGCGTTAATGCTGCACTCATACTACTGGCTGCGCGTCGTTTCGTTTTCGTACCGCGACCGGTCCACCGACAGTTAATGGTTTCATTGTTTCTGTCGCGGGGCCGTGCGATTAAATTCCCCGTCTTCCTGTTACATTCCTGACGAGACGCGCTTACACCGGTTTTTTACGAGGCTTTCAACGTTATTGGGAGGCGCTCGCTTTACGAGCATATTTTACGAGTATTTCCATGAATTTCTGGCCACTTCACTTTTGCTTGTTAGGCGCCGCCGCCTGCCGACCCACCGGCTCGTATAAAACCGCGTTGCAAATTCGAATTTTCAATTTTCTTTCTCCGACGCTCGCTTCGAAGTTACATTATTACGTTACTGCTGTAAGCGATCGCTCGCGCGAGGCCGTTCGCCGAGAACAAGCCGTTTCGTGGCATACTTTCTTTTTTACTTAGGGTATTGTTCGATGGTGAAATCGCTACAGGAATACTTGGCTCGGCAATTCGTGCGTTATACTTGGTTGGAAAAATTAATTTTTAATGGCACGCATATGGTCAGTTATTTATTTTGCTTGTTCGATTAGGGGATTTTCTCTATTTGCCTATCTTGTTTATTTTCAATGTTTGCCTGACTAAATGTAGATTTCTCTGCTTGTCTGAGTAAATATAAGTTTCTCTGCTTGCCTGACTAAATACAGTCTTCTCTACAAGTATGGTTAAGAATGATTTACTCTGCTTGTTTGACTAAATATAATTTACTCTATTTGTCTGTCAAATTAGAATTGTTTTGATCTGTCTGACTAAATATAGTTTTATCTCCTTGCCCGACTAGATATAGTTTTCTCTACTTGCCTGACTAAATATAGTTTTCTCTACAAGTATGGTTAAAAATGATTTCCCCTACTTGTTTGACTTAATGTAATTTACTCTATTTGTCTGTCAAATTATAATTGTTTTCATCTGTCTGACTAAATATAGTTTTCTCTCCTTGCCCGACTAGATATAGTTTTCTCTACTTGCCTGACTAAATATAGTTTTCTCTACTTGCCCGACTAAATATAGTTTTCGCTACAAGTATGGTTAAAAATGATTTTCCCTACTTGTTTGACTAAATGTAATTTACTCTATTTGTCTGCCTAATTATAATTGTTTTCATCTGTCTGACTAAATATAGTTTCCTCTACTTGTTTGACTAAATATAGTTTTCTCTACTTGTTTGATTAAATATAGTTTTCTCTACTTGCCTGACTAAATATAATTTTCTCTACTAGTATGGTAAAAAATGACTTTCTCTATTCGATTAAATCTTTTTCTATTTGCTGGACTAAATACAATACTATTTACCCGACTAAAATACAATTTCCTCTACCTGTCTGATTGAACACAACTTTCTCTACTGGTCCGACTAAAACGATTTTCCCTACCTGTCAGATCAGTACGATTTTCCCTATTTCTTCCAAAATAATGATATTCATCTTCCCCCTATTCATCCGAATAACATGCTACCCTGATCACTGTAACCAACATAAACGAATGCCGTGGGACAATGCCCAATTCGGATGCACGGATCGGTTACCGAAGACAGAGGCAG